TTTGGGCAGACGATGTTCTGGCATTCTCTGCACATGTCCATACCACTTTAGTTGTTGTACTCTTATATCTTCGACAATCGTATGTGTGACTCCCATAACCTCTCGTATACGTTCGTTATTAATTCTTTTGAGTTTTGATTTTCCTGCGTCCCGTCTCCAGTAGTCCATCTCCGTGGCTTGTAGTGTTCTTTCAGTAGTTGCCTTTAAATGCCACACGTCACTTCCATACATTACTATGCTCTTTATAATAGTGTTGTATATTCGATGTTTATTTTTTTTTGGATATATGTTGATCCCAGATAATACTATTTAAATGAAATGAGGTTAATGCTCGAGAATACAGAGAATGTAGCGTAGAAGTAATTTTAAACTGTTTATCCTCGTTTTAGTGTAGTGTTTTGTACAATTTATGTTATTTTTAATGTTTCCACATTCTACGCTTGCCGGATAGTTCTTATTTTGACGAAATGCCCCTGAAGATGCTATTTTAAGCGAAAGTACTTGGGCTAGATTTAATTAACTTGTGCTCGATAATAGCCTTATTTTCAAAGTTAATACTATTTAGTTGAGATATGGCCCTTCTACCCTGAGTGTTTCGTTTTTTTTTATAGCCTGATCTGATTTGCCGTCGTCTGTGATTTCTACTCCTAAATAGGAATATTTATTGTTGTACTTAATGTGTTGTCCGTCGTTTAAAACTAGATTTTGTTCTTTACCACCGATGTTCATGTACATTGTTTTATCTATGTTGACTTCTAATCCCCATTTTTTGTATTCTTCGATTAATTTTCGAGTCATGTATTCTAGGTCGTCATATTCGTTAGCAATCACAATTTGATCATCAGCAAAACATAGGGTGTACAGGTTGTTATTGTTTAATTGTATACCCATGCCGCTGCATTTCCGCTTCCAGAGTTTTAATGCTTGTTCCAGATATATTTTGAAAAGTGTCGGCGCTAAGCAGCATCCCTGCTTCAGTCCTTTGTCTACTACAAAACCTTTGGAAACATTCGTTCCTATTTTAACTTTGGCGTTGGCGTTCTCATATAGTTTTTCCACTGTTTTTCGCTGTTATGAGATTTGAGTTGATGTTCGTTTGTCTGAGAGTGTTCCATAACTTATTTTGAGGGATGCTATCGTAGGCCTTTTTTAGATCAACAAACAAAAAGTGGACTTCTTGATCTACAGCAACCTTTTTTTCTATAAGTTGGGTGATACAAAAAAGGTGGTCTATGGTCGATCTACTAGCTCTAAAACCCGCCTGTTCTTCTGCCTCCATATCAGTGTATTCTCTTTCTATTCTATTTTTGATCATTTTCCGATAGATTTTACTAATGGTACTAGTAACTGCTATTCCACGGTAATTGTCGCAATTTTGTTTGTTTCCCTTTTTATGTACAATGGTTTATGTTGAAATGGTTGAGGTTTTAAATTCGGCTGGAACCTCTACTTTGTTTATGCAGTTTTGAAAGAGTATTGTCAAATGCTCATATAGTTTTTCAGTTCCATATTTTATCAGTTCTGAGGGTATATTGCCAGGTCCGGGCGCGTTTTTGTTTTTGAGTGAAATACAGATATCCCTTACTTCCTTTTTCGTGATTCTTATAGGACATGCTTCAACGCGTATGTTTTGGTTACTTTCTTTTATTTTAAATTCCATTCGGTCTTCTTGTAACAGCTTACTGAAGTACATGTCCCATGTTTCTAACGAAATTAATGAGATTAAATCTTTTTTCTTGTCGTTGGTCCTAAGAGATTTAATAAGTTTCCAGCTTTCTGTACTTCTAGTTCCTCCTATGTACGTATTTAATTTTTGACAGTTTTGACCCCAGGATTCATTTTTTTTCTGTCTTATCATTTGTCTCACCTTAGCTTGATGGTTTTTGTAATCAGACCAATTTGTATGTTTTTGCACTTAAATATTGTTCATACTTTTGTTTCTTTTGTTTTATCGCTGTGTCTATTTCTTCATCCCACCAGTATGGAGTATTTTTGTTTTTCTTTTCGTAATATCCAAGCGCTTCTTTTGCTGCAGAGTGAATACTTTCTTTAATGTAATTGTAGTGGTCTTCGATGTTATTAAAATTTATGTTTTCAAGTTTCTCGTTCAGTCTGTTTTGATACAATATTTTTACACTATCTTGATCTAGGCTGATAAGATTATATCTTACATCTTCTGCCATCTCTGAGCGAACTACTGGTTGTTTCAATATGGCTTCTTCTTGAAAACATTATTTTTGCTTTTAAGAAATGGTGATCGCTTCCACAAACTGCGCCTCTATAAGCTCTTACGTCGTAGATTTTAAGATTTGATCTTTGGCGTACAATCAAGTAATCTATTATAGATTTTAGATTCCTTGTTCTCTGTCCCCAGGTGTATTTGTGTACTTCTCTTCTTCTTCTCTTCTGTGATTTCGTAATGTTTTCTAAATAAGCAAATACAGAATAAAATAATAAAATAAAGGAAAATGAATAAGTTTTACATGCTTTTTAAAAAAATCTTTTATTTTCTTTTGCGTTTTTCTTTGACAACAATGTTTTAAAGCTATATCTCTCCATCCTTGGAGAACGCCATGAAATTGCCTCGTTTGATTGTTCGATGAAACGTAAAGCAATCTGAAAAGGACAAAACTTTATTATGAAATGAAAACAAAAATTAAGAACCTCGTGTCCCTAACTAATTAGGCCTACTGTATAAAATTCTTATCTTTAAGGCATTAAAAATCTCGTCGGCGGTCTCGTGTTGCCTGTTGTCTGGCAGTTGGGTCGTCATCTTCGTCGTCTGATACGCTCAGGTTGTCTGGATGAAGAACGATGTCATTTATGTCCTGGTGGATGAATCTACTTTCTGAGTCATCGGCTGATAACCTCTCACGTATCTCTTCTTGGTTAATTTCGTCACATCCCGGCAAATGTTTTATTAAAGGTTTAATTTCTTCTGTCGATTCTTTACCATTCTATTCATTAGAATCGTCAATCAAAATCCCATCAAAAAGTTTGCTCCAGCATTTTTCCAAAGTTGAAGATTTGATCTTGGCCCACGACTCTGCACACTTTCATTGTTAAAGATTTGAGAATTTCGGGAACACTTTTGGATTTATTTGTCTCTTGTAATAACAGATAATAACAGAATGCTCCGCTATAATGTCTCTTGAATGTCTATATTACTCCCTTGTCTAACGGCCTGAATGTCACGGCTCGTGACATTCGGTGGCAAAAATCTGACAATTGTCACCATTTTGTAGATTTTGAGGGTGAGTTATCACATTGTCAAGAAGCAACAATGCTTTGATGGAAAGGCTTTTTGATTTTAAAAAGGATTTTACACTTGGGACGAATTCATTTGCCAAGCATTCTAAAAATAAAGTGGTCGACATCTATGAGCTTTTTTTGCTTCTATAAAAAACTGGAAGTTTTTGGAAATATCTTTATCTTTCTAGAGCTCTTGGTTTTTTTTTATTTCCCAACACACATAGGCATTAATCGGTGAGTGAAATTAATGGAATTGTTTACATTTTGCGATAAAAATTTACTTTTTATTGACGAAATTATAGAAATTGTCAGCCGTTTCGGTTAAAAGGGTTTTGGTGAAGGGAGGTGTTCTCTCTCACTCTCTCTTTAATCCTGACCCTCCAGGGGGAGTGTAGTGGTCGACGTGATGTCGTCTATTGTCCGTCTCGAGAGATCTCTGTCTCTGGTCATTTCTTTTAATTCATGCATAGGTCTTTGGCATATTCCTGTAATTTGATCTATCCATCTTGTTGGGAATCTTCCTCGTGATCTTCGGCCTTCTACCTTTCCTTGTATTATGAGTCTTTACATGTTTGCTGTGTTTGCTCTCATAACATGCCCAAAATATTTTAATTGTTGGAGATGTACTTTACTAGAGAGTCGTTGGCTAACTTTTTAGCTCTCTTATATATCTTAGTATATCAGGTTCTTCTTCCACCTCGTCAGAGATTTGGCTAACAAGCTCTTGGCGTTGATCATCTTTATATAGGTCCCTGCAAACGATCTCCATGTCTCTGCTATGTCTTCTCTGTTTGTTCTCAGGGTTCCAGTGTTATCTTCAATGGCCCAAGTTCTGGCTCTGAAGTCTCTTGTCAGGTAGCGTATTTTTCTAAATAGATCTCTCGGCTGATTATTCTGACCATGTCTCTCAATTTCTTTGCATATACTTTGATAGTACTGTTTTCTGTCGGCCTTACATCTTCGTTTTATTTCTTTATTGAGGTTTCTTAAACTAGCTTTTTTCCCTTTCACTATGTATACCACTTTTACAAAGATTTCTTCTATTCTCAATTATTTTAAGAGTTTCATCTGTTATCCAGTGTTTTCGTTTCACCGGATTATTTTTCTTTGAGCGATCCACTGGTGTTGTTACGCAATGTTTAACAGTCTCCCATATTTTTTGTGATGTTCCGTTACGAATAGAGGGCATACTTTTCTGTACTTCCTGTAGAAGGGAGGTGTTACTGCAACAATTTTTTTACGTTTTTCGTTTTCTCTGCCATTTAAACTTTAAACAAGTAGATGCAGCGAACCCCGACCATACTTTCGAAGCTTAAATGGATCATATAGTTGAATTACTATTTTTGCAAATTTTATAATGTATTGGTTATCCGATACCGATATTAAACGCATTAAATTTGCAAATAAATAATCAGATTACTTTCAATTGGTATATTTGCAATAAATTCACAATTCACATTATTGTAAGGTCATTCAAATTTATGATTTTAGATATTTACCTTTCTGTATATTACATCATACTTAATATTATGAATTAGATATAGTATGATCTTGATATTTTCATCCGCCTGACGGAATAGTCGCCCGTATAAACAAACTAACAAAAGTTCGAACATTTTTTTATTTGAATTATGTGACTGTTTTCACGCCAGTCCGCTTCTGAGCGAGTTAATTATTTCTAATACAATTACTAATCGATAAAATGTTTGTATACTATAGTGACCTTGCAATTTTTATCATGATTTCCTGGAGTTGGTCAAAGATCGCAACCAACAAACCGTGTCCCACTACGCTCTTCGCGGAATTCCGTTCAAACTATGTACTAAAAGTAACCATCAGTTCATCTTTGTGGTGTAATATGTATACAAGACAGTATTAAAATTCAGGTGATGTAATATGACATAATAGTAAAATAATTATATTGCAATTTACGTGAAATCGTTAATCCTACGTTACGATGAGTGCGGAGTCAAATTCAAATCGAAGACGGAGTCACTTAGTATATACTGTACTGCAAGATGGATCTGAAGTTAGATTTGGAGAACCAAGAGGTAGGATGTTTGTTATTTGTCACTGATATAGGATAAACATGAGGTTATCTTGCTCCCGAACATGATATCCTGCGCCTGCGGTACAATAGTACAATGTTGTCAATTTTATATTTTTTCTTGAGTTCTTAACTACGAGAAATATTGTATTATTTCTAATAAACATAAATTCAAAAAAATTTGCATTAACTCGGTTATTGCATAAATGGTTGAAATAGGTGAATCATAAAGTAAGTCTGCGTTTAGCGGGAACTCACAAACAAATAATAATAATTAATTCTGACCCGTGTTTGTTTTATAAATATCGATTTAAACAATAAAAACTAGTGTTAATGATAAGTAAATCGCATAATACTATCATTGTATTTGACTGCTATTTTAAGTATTGTAACTTAAACAATTCGTTCAAATATAATTAGTGTGCGGTCATCCACTTTGTGAATTCATCCGAGTATGCAAGCAGTGTCTGAAAACGCATATTTTGCGTAAAGTCCTTTTACCCTATGACGGCTGATATGCAATTAGGATATGATCAGTGGGCCTCAAACAGTGGGGCGTTAATATTTAATTCCGATCGCTTAAAAAGTAAAAATATTTAATTTCCTGTTCAGTAATAATATTGGATTTTACTGTATCAAAGTCAAATAAAATGAATATATTATGTATATACAGGGCGTGTTAAAAGAAGCGGGACAAAATATTTTGAATACTCGAAATTATTTGTCGACATCAAATATTTATCAAGGTCTCTTATAAGTCTCTATTTTGCGTAGAACGAAAAAAATACTTGCCAAGTTGCTGGTATGTCCAAATTTGAATAAAATACTTTCAAGACTTTACTTTCTGCAGACACTGTATTAATTATAACCTTGAAACAAATTGGCACTAAATTACTTTCCAGTTTTCAGCAATAAGCAAAACAAAAGGTTTAAACACGTGTTGTCCAGTACTTAATTAATATCATAGCTGTTGAGAGTATGCAGTCCAGTAATTAGACCGAAGGTACTTTATCGTTTAACTATAGTTTATTTTTATGAACGAGAGAGTAATTAGCATAATTTTAACTGGTACCTCCGACCACTCCATGGGCGTGCTCAAGATTAATTGAAAAATTACTTTGAATAATTGTAAAAAATAAATGAATTTTTTCAGTGTTATAAAGTGTTATGTGTATGTAAACAAAAGTGACCTCTTTTATCACACACTATATTAGAACTGACTGGCCTACATTAAAAAGGGTTTTAAAAAAATTCACATTTTTTTTTTAATTTTTAAAAATTACAAAAGAGAAAAAGAGTTTTTAAAACCGTCTAAGGTATGATAAATAGATGAATAAAAATATTAATATAAAACTTACAGCTACTTGTTACAAATCCAAATCAGATTCAGAAGATGAACTTTCAGAACCAAGATTTATAATAACTGGCTCGATCATTTTATCAGTAATATTGTCCAGCTTCCACATTTTTTCCTCTTCTTTAATAGTGTGATTTACTGCCTTTTCCCAGTTTTCAGGTTTTACATTATTTACGGCCTCCAAAAACAACTGTTTAACATCATGAATTTTAAAAGTGGTATTTTTTCTTGAAACTTCACTCTTTATCTGTGCCCATACCAGTTCAATCGGGTTTAATTCACAATGATATGGTGGGGATCTAAGTACTGTCATTCCACGATTTTTGGCAATTTCATCAATTTCGTATTTTTAAAATTTTTCTCTATGAAGTGCAGTATTTGTCTTAAAGAAACATACTAATATGAAAATGGGGAGAATATTATACATCATTCTTAATAGACGAAAGACTAAAATGTATTGCAGAAAATTAAATCAGGGTGTTAAGCAACAAAACAAATCATCAATGTAGAAAACTAGAAAAAGCGATTAAACTAGTAAAAATGAGAGAGCGCCTGAACAAAAAAGTACTCTCGTGGAAATTAAAAAAAACATTAAACAAATTATTTTTTATATTAAGGAATATTTTTGAGGTACTTTGAAAAGAAATTTGAAGACATTTTCTTATTATTTTATTCTTGAAATAATAAGTCTTGTCTACAAAGGAAGAATCAAATTTGTACTCACTGATCTAGAACGCCGCAATTTCAAGCCGTAATCATACGTAATAAAAGAACATTGAACTTGTTTAAGGCCGTTAGACTAATAACAGTTTTTATCGGAATTGAAAACTAACAACTGCAAAGAAGCTCATTTGTGTAAAACAGAAACGTAAAAATAGAATAGAAAATCGTTATGTTTATATGGAATTTGTTAAATAATCGAAAACATTTACAAATACGTGTGTTTACGTGTTTTACGTGGTTTTTAATATATATAGTTAGTCCAGACGGGTTAGCAGCATGGCAAAGTGCCCCAAATTTTATTATTCTTGCCTTTAGAGGAGAGAGAAGTTAATATTTTAAATTTAAAATCAAGACTGAATTCCGTCGATTGCGTTAGTCGCCACCTATATTTTAAAGAGAACCGTTTTTCTCAATATCTCCACGCTTTTGAAATTTTCGAAAAAATGTAAGTGGTAAGGACTGAAATTGTTTCAAATTCGACTTCCTACAATTTCTTTTTTACAAATTTTTCGTGCTGTCACGAAATTACAACAATTTTAGTCAGTACCATCTCTCATTTTTGGTTCTATACATTCATGTCGCTAAGTTAACTCGAAAAATATTGACGAAAAATTTGTAAAAATGAAACTGTAGGAAATCGTATTTGCAACAATTTCAGTCCGTAACATTTTTGTCGAAAAGTTGAACATGGAGATATTGAACAACAATGTTTCTCCTTTTTCATTTTCAAATTCAAGACGGTGGCGAACGCAATAGTTCGATTTCCTCTGAAATGTAAACTATACAGAACCACTGTAAAGCTAGTCAGGATCATGAGAACCAATATTGGTCATAAAAGAAGAAAAACGAACAACGAGTATATGTTGAAGAAATGAGAATGCTTAGGTGGCAAGAAGAGTAACAAGAAATGATAAAATTCCCCTACAGTTTCTAATGTAGTTTTGCTTATTATCATTCCCATTTGTTTCCACACCTGCCTGCAGTCTATTTTATCTGTGTGCGATGAGTTTTGTCTGCAGAGTATTTTGGTACTCTTATCAGCGTAAGATAGAGCCAGCCTTAATAAAATAAACAAAAACAATATTAAAAAACATATAGACCTTGCGGCCTCAATTAATATGGTGATAGCCAGCACATGCTTTGAGCGTAAAAATATACACAAAGGCATTTGAATTAGCCCAGACGGTAACACAGTCAATCAAATCGACCATATAGTTGTGGACGCAAGACATTACAGCGATGTTATGAATGTACGTACAAGGAAGCAAAGAAGGTAAATTCGAGGTGAACAGACAACGAAACCCTGTGATATTTAGAAAATTTGAACACAAACTTAAAGAAAAAATAGAAGACCAAATGAGTAGTACTGTTGAAAAACATAGATAATTGCTGGAATGAGTGCGAAAATATCCTGAAAGAAGTAGCAACAATAGTTGTAGGAAAGAAGAAACAAGAAAGGAGGATATAATGGTATGATGCGGAATGCGCACAGGCAACTCAAAAAAAGAATTAGACGATGAGAGGGGAGAAAAATAATATACCAACAGAAGAAGAAGTTGCCAAGACAATAAAAAGTTTAAAAAAACAACAAATCCCCTGGTTTAGATGGTATACCCCCTGAGCTGTTCAAGTATGGAGCAAACGTCAAAAAAAATTACATAATAAAATTTTTTGCATATATTTAAAAGGAAGGAAAACTCCCAGACAGTTGGAATGTAGTTATTTTAATACCTATTCACAAGAAAGGAGATCTACTAATATGTGACAACTATCGAGGTATTACCCTTCTAAATACGACTTACAAAGTACTGGCTTATATACTTTATGATCGTTTACTAGTATTATACTGAGGAAAAAATAGTCAAATTCCAATGTGGATTCCGAAAAGAAAGGTCAACAAGTGATCAGATTTTTCTTCTCAGACAAACCTTAGAAAATACATATGAATATGGAATTGAAACCCACCATCTTTTATAGATTTTAAAAGCGCTTAAGACAGTGTAGACAGAATGACAATCATGACAAATCCAGATATTCCCTCGCATCTAATAACATTGGTAAAGGCAACTCTTTCGAAAGTTGAGTGCCAAGTCAAGGTACAAAACAGAGTGTCAAGGTCTTTTCAAATACATACTGGATTACGCCAGGGAGACAGGCTATCGTGCCTATTGTTTAACATCGCGCTAGAAAGAGCCATAGAGAAATCGAGCATAATAATCAGAGACACGATCATTAATAGAAGTGTACAGATATTGGCCTACGCAGATGACATTGACATAGTAACACGGAAAAAAACGAGACCAGATACATTGCGAAGGCAATGGGACTGCAGGTCAACGTATCCAAAACAAAATACATGAAGGTCATGAACAGCACACAAATAGCGGCACCACAAGATCTGGTGACAGAAGCACACACATTCGAAGGGGTCTCAGAGTTTGTATATCTTGGAACACAACTAAATAGCAGCAACCTAGTAAGCTTAGAAATTAAAAGAAGAATATACCTGGCGAACAGAGCTTACTTGGACTATGGTATAAAAAGCGACGAAGAACTGTTAGGCCGCTTTGAAAGAAGAATACTTAGACATATATACGGAGGAGTTCAAGAAAGCGGGATATGGCGCAGGTACTACAATTTTGAATTGTATCAATTATATGAAAAATGCAACATCGTCCGGTCTAATAAAATTAATAGACTAAGGTGGTTAGGACACCTTGACAGAATGGACACTGGAGACCCCCAAAGACAGATATTGTATCAAGAGCCAGTCGGAACCAGGAAGAGAGGCAAGCCAAGATCTAGGTTTAAAACTCAAGTCGAAGATGACTTGAGGAATCTAGGGGTCAAAAATTGGAAAGCCAGGGCGAAAGATAGGGGGGAATGGAGACTAATTCTTGAACAGACCAAGACCCACCCAGGGT